TATTGAAGTATTCAACTGAATACTGATTCTAAATATTTAATCTCAAAAAGAGAAATATTTCCGAAAAGTCCATGACTCGCCCTGAGAAATAATTTTACATTGGATCTAAATAGCAAATTCAATATTTCAGTATGTAATATAACATATTTAAACTAGATATTGTTTTTAGTGAACATTAATAATTCTGAATTAACAATAAGACGCTGGATATAAAAAATCTAAAAAGTTTTCTGGGAGATAATTTGATTGAAAATTGATGTTGACAATTATTATAATATTATACAATATTTTAAACCTATATTCTTTTTAAGATGAGCACTGCTCTTAATTTGTGGGTCTCAAACCTAAATAATTTTTAACTGGTCATAAATTCTTCTGAAAGATACTATATCCGATTCAAAACAATTTCCCTTTAAATATACAAATTTAATATCTATCTAAGTTTCTTTCAAAATATCTTCAAGCTGTCAGCTAAAAGCAGTTTTTAATGAGTTTGAATCTCGAAAAGATAAATCTTCCTGAAAAGCCAAATAATTGAGCAGAATCATTCAATAGTGCACCTAAATAATAAATTGAATCCTACATTTTAGAATCTGATATATCTTAAGGCTGGATATTACTTTTGAACATAAATATTATCGAAAAACCCATAAAATGTTTCATATGAATTTCATTCTGAAAGATTAATTGCTTGAAAGTGACTTTGAAAAAAACTTGGTAATAATATTTAAAAAACTGTACTATTTTTTAATCTAATTATTAAATTTTCAAGCAGATCATTGCTCTAAAAGAATTTGAAACTCTCAAACCAAGTCAATAATTTCGAAAGCAATCTATTGAATAAACGCTATTAGATTCATTTTATTACCCATTAACCATTTTACTACCCATGTATTAACACCCATTTAAATTTACTTCCAATCAAAGTATCAAACTGAACACGACTTCTAATGAATTTTATCTCAAGAATATAAATAATTCTGAATAGGCCATAAATCATTCTGAAAAATAACTAGACATATCATTAAATAACAAATATTTCAGTACTTAAGTATATTTAAGCTGGATATTATTTTCAGTAAACATAAATAATTCTGAAGTAATTATAAGACGATGGATCTTAAGTATCTAAAAAGTATTCTGAGAGATAATTTAAAAGAAAATTGATTTCAATTGATATTGACAATTATTATAAATATTGTATGCAATATCTTTAACCTACACTGTATGATTTCTCGATCAAATTACGGTGAAAACAACCGGCATTTAGAATGCCAGTACTTTTTATCGTAAAATTTATTTCGCCGTAAAATTTTATGGAACAAAAAATCTGATATACCATAATTTTTACAGTATTATTTCCTATAAATTCACTGAATCACTACAATTAAATAAATATAAATGTAATAATTATGTTGTGATATTTTAGAGGAAAAAAATATTTAATGGTAAAAAATATTTAACGGATGATGTACCCAAAGTGCCGGTACTTTAATCCGGTACAAAGTGCGTAATTTAATTCGGAATTTTTTTGTAATTATATTATTTTCAAGCATAATATTGTTCTAGATGAATTTGTATGTCTAAGACAAAAATAATTTTTAATTGGTCATAAATTCTTTTCAACGATAGTATGTTAGATCCGAAACAATTATGTTCCTTTTATTACGTAAATTTGATATCTATTTAAGTTTCTTTCAAAGTATCTTAATGCAAATAAATATGAGTCTCGAAGATAGAAATCGTTCTGAATAGTCAAATAATTCTGCAGAATCATTCAATAATGCATCTAAATAAGAAATTAAATCCTGCCTTTTAGAATCTAACATAGAAGGTTTAAGATGAACCTAAATAATTTATAATGAAATTTTAGAATCTTATGCAATATGTTTAAACTGAACATGAATAATAATAGGCCATAAATCATCCGGTAAAGTAATGCTATTGCACATCCAACTAACAAATTCAATCAAATTTTTTATAATATAATATATATATTCAGGTTGAATATTACTGTTGAACTAAAATAATTCTAAATTAGCTATGAAATGTTGAATTTAGTACATATACTTGGATAATTATTTGATATGAGGAAAATTAAACTTTTATCTAATCTAATATTTAAAATTGAAACGAATATTCTTTAACCTAATAAAAAAAACTTTTCAATCAGAGCGTATTCAATTTGGGTTTATGAAACATAAATAAGTTTTAATAGATAATAAACCCTTTTTTAAAAATAGTATATTCGATATAGCTTGAAAAGATTCATGCTGTTATATTAAATTTAACATCTATGAAAAAATTTAAATCAAAGTATTTTTCAGCATTAAATTGAACGAATTCTTTAAGGAACTTGAATCTCAAAGATATATTGAATTTTGATGATTGTTCTGAATTATCAGTGAATTATCTTAAAAGTTAATTTATTTAAAATTCAGTTTAAATAAGCTTTTAATTAATATAATTGATAGATACAAATATTGGCAAAGTAGTGTGACATTGCACTTAATTAAAATTTAAAGTAAATCATTTGATTGAAATGAAATAAATCATAATATCTCAAAAATTAGATCTAATGTATTAAATGGAATTCCGTAATTTTAAATCTAATATCTTTCGGAAATTAATATTTTTCTTATGCTTTAATAAATCATAAGAATATAAGATTCTCACTCCTGAAATTTAATCTTACGATAATTTACTTACTTAGGAAAAAAAACATATTTTTCTCAAAAGTCTCATTTGAAAGAAAGTTCGTGCAGTGATAATATTAATTTTAAAAAACATGTCCTTAAAATCCTTTACTAATTTCTTAGATTTATAATTTCATAAGAAATAATTATAGAAGAAAATTTTTTGTAAAAGTATTATGTCAATAAAACATATTTTAAAACTTTCTGTGTACAATTTTATTAGGTTTGTACAATTTTCTCACAAAGGCTTGAGAAAAATTCAATTTCATCGAAAATCGCTTACTATTTTTAATTTTACTGGTTGTTAAAAAGTCAAACTGATCCATCAGTTTGTTATGATACAATCTGGTTTTTATTTACAATTTCATGGATAATAATTAGGTTAAAAAAGACCAAAAATCTATCAATTCTTACCAAATCCAATTATTTTAAAATTTTCTATTTACAATTTTATTTATTTCTGTCTATTTCCCAAATCATAATTTTAAGAAAATTACTAAAAACTGTTCATTGTATATTTTTTTATTCAAATTTTGTACACCCTTGCATACAATTTCTCCCTTATTTACAATTTCATCCATGCTAATTATTACGGGGGGGGAAACAATTGTCAAAAGCAAAGTTAATAAAAAAATTTAAGAATTTTTGTGAATAATTTTATTTGTTTGATTACAATTTTATTAGGTTTGTACAATTTTCTCACAAAGGGTTGAGAAAAATGCAATTTCATCAAAAATCGTTTACTTTTTTTAATTTCACTGGTTGTTAAAAAGTGAAACTGATCCATCAGTTTGTTATGATACAATCTGGCTTTTATTTACCATTTCATGGATAATAATATGGTTAAAAAAAGACCAAAAATCTATCAATACATACTAAATACAATTATTTTAAAATTTTCTATATACAATTTTATTTCTTTCTGTCTATTTCCCAAATCATAATTTTAAGTAAATTATTAAAAACTGTTCATTGTATAAATTTTTTTTAAAATTTTGTGCACCCTTGCATACAATTTCTCCCTTATTTACAATTTCATCCATGTTAATTAATACGGGAGAAAACCATTTGTCAAACGCAAAGTTTATAAAAAAAATTAATAAATTTTGCGAATAATTTTCTTTGTTTGGATACAAGTGTTATTAACATAATTAAATAAAAATTCACTCATATAGTAAATAAAAATTGTTTACTTCAGAAAATTGTCATAACTGTTCAAAAAATAAAACTAATCCATCAGTTTTGCAAATAAATCGTATTTATTACATGTTTTATCATGATAACATGCTTAAAAAATATAAATAAAAATAAGTGACTTAATCTTATTACTACTACATATGTCTAGATAATTATTGACCCTATGACTCATATTATGAATGTTTATCACTGCTTTTTTTTTATAAATAAACTATAGGACACACTGCTCTGTTGAGCTACTACAGAATAACTGTTAAAAATATAACTAATCCAGTTTCGTAATTCCATGACTGTTAAAAAATATTAATTACTCAACAGTTTTGTACAGCTTTACAATCCCTAATTACTATTTTATCAAAATGAATTTTTAGGGGATTTTAGGGATTTGCAATAAACAATGTCAATAAAAATTTAAAAATAACATTTTTTGCACAATTTATTATTTCAGTATTATTTTACTACACACAGTTTGAAAAACAAGCATTTTCAATAAAAATTATTTGTTATAGGGAGACAAGAGCATTAAAAAATAAAACTAATCCACCAGTTTTGTTAACAAATCTTATTTATTACACATTTTAGCATGATAATGTATTTAAAAAAAGATAAATAAAGACAAATAACTCAATCTTATCACTACTACATATGTCCAGATAATATTAAACCCTATGACTCATCTTATGAATGTTTATCACTACTGTTTTTATAAATAAACCATACGACACGCCGCTCTGTTGAGCAACTAAAGAATAAATAGACCGAAACAAAATACTAGGGAACAAAAAAATATTTGAAAAAAAAACATCTGAATATATTTACCAGTCTACAAACACTTTCTCTTTCGCTATCATTTAAAAGTCTTTTTCGCCGACCAAATAATCGTTTGGCGAAACCATCACCCAAATGACATATAATACTCGTGTCAAAAAGACGGTTTCCTTCCGTAAGACCCAAGCCCCTTAACGGCCTCGTTTAGCCCCGGTTGTCATCGGCCGTTAGGCCTAACGGTCGGCCATCTTGGAGACAGTCTATGAGGCCATAATCATCTAAGGGGGGAGAGCTTAAGGGGGTAAACGTGTAAGGGGGTGAGTAACAACACAAACTTACCAGCTATGGACATCCAAGGGTAACGCGGGACATCCGGAATGGGATCCAGTTGTCGCATCCCTAGTTGGTTGCAGGAGGTGATAGACGAGCTGAGGTCCGTCGATGCGGGGTGTGTGAAAAACTGACCAGGGGTCATCATGGTTGGTGTGGCTCCGGGGCCCGCATTTTGCAAGCCAAATGAATAGCCGGGCCCATCCAGTCCGTTCGCCTGGGTGCTGTTGTACCGGCAACTCTTGGCAAAATCGGCATTCGACGTATAGTAGAGGTTTCCTGAGACGGACATGCTACTTTGGGGGGAGAGTGATACATAGGGATACATCCTGTGTTGCCCGTAACTAGAGGTTGGATCAGGTGGGAATTTACTCCCTAGAACACCCTCCATAAAATTCGATGTCATTTTACATAATTTCCGATGATGTCCTTTGGCGAGTTTTGCTCTCTTTTTAATGCCGCGGTTTGAGAGTGTGTAATGGATTCTCGAAACAAGCGAACAGGCCTGTAAACACAGATCACCAATCACGAGGAGCAACTCGCATTCGCTAGCCAATGACTCGCCGTTTCCGCTACGAATAGATTACCCAGGAAACCTTTTTTCAGAGTAGAGAAAGTGGGCGCGCTTTTAATGACAACAGAAGACCTAATGCCGCCATCTACCGTTATGTTTTAAAGAATCAAACGACCGCGATTTTTCGGTGTCGTTATTCCGGGGGGCAGGAAGCGCCCTCATTCGCTAAACAAAATTTCAAGTTCACGATAAATATGTTTCATCACACTGAGCTCGAGAGTGAATAATTCAATCTGATGCTTTTGCTATTTAAGATAAATTCGTGAATACGCGTTAAATAATGAAATTAAGAGTTTATTTTTTTTTAGTGATAAATATAAAAGCACTGAAATAAGTGGCAATAATTAATGCAATATTTTTTAAAACTTATTTATTAAGCATTTAAACTTTGGAATTCATTTTGAATCAAATCTTTATGTTAAAATTATTTCGTAATCAATGTGTTATCTTAAAAAATAAATTTTTACGATCAAATATTTTTTAACACTGCCTTTAAAAATAAAGGATAATACTTGAAATGGTTTAACTATTACATACATCATACCAATGAATGTTGGTATTACTTATATAAATTTTAATTTCAGAAATTAAAATTTAGAAAAATATTATCAGAGTATTTTTGGTTTATTAATATTTAGTATGTAAAATAATTTACTTAAACTTTTGTCAGATATTTAATAAATTAAATTTAATAAAAGATCATTAAAATTAATTGAGTAAATAGAAGGTGTTTAAGAATTAATTAAGTTATTTGCATAGTATAAATTACTTTCCGAACTTGCATCAGGAGTAACAAATTTTGTTTTTCATATTACACTTAAAAATAAATTTTTATACCTTAATTTTTAAATATCTTATGCTAATTTACATCCTTTATTGCTTTAAGAAATTAAAGTTAATAAAAATCCTATCGACATAATTCTAATTTATTTTAATTTAATAAGCAAAATAAATTTTATTTTATTCTGATTTAAATTAGATTCATAAATCGTTTACTTTTTATTTAGGCTTGATAATGAAAGTGATAAAAATTATAAAAAAATTTATTAAAATGATTTAATAAATTAATTAATTTAATAAATTAATGTAGCCATTTAAAAAAATATTAATTACTTTTCAACCTTGAGTAAAACTGTTTATAAAATATTTTAATTTGTTAATTTATAATTTATCGTATTACTTTTAAAAATTAAAATCATAAAACTCAAAACCATGATGAAACATTTAAAAAAAAAAGCCTTACGAGTAATTCAAAATTTATAAGATTCTAATCACAATTTGTTTCAGAATCAATGCAATTAATTTATTTTGTACTTTTATAAATTATATTTGAAATATATGGTATTTTAAACTTTAAATTATTTAGTGACATGTGAGAGGAATGTGCTTTGAAATACAAAGAAAAAAAAATCAAAAGGAAAAGGTTAGAAACTGAAAAAAAAATCAGTTTAACAAAATAAGTAAAAATGATAGTATTTCATGGTTAAAGCAAAAATTACTGTGAATCAAATCGATGAGCAGCATCATTCAACATAAAAAAAAAACCTAAAAGGTTAAAATTAATTAAACTTTTTTGCATGCACATTTGTAAATTTAGTTGTATCTTTTTCCACATTTTCAATAATATGACCTATTAAATTGTTAAACCAAAATAAAACAGAAAATATTGCACAATTTGTTCGTTTATATGCACAGTTCATTTTAAACTTTTTCATAAATTTAATTTTTCCTCTCTAGCTCGGTTTGTCATCTTTCCAATTTTTCATCAGATTTCAAAAACAATTGCTTATAAAACCTAATTGTATCCCAATAGGAAGTCAAATATGGAAATTTAGATTTTTTAGTAAGATCAGTGATTTGAGAACATCTTGCATGCACAATAATCTAATAATAAGAAATAATTTATTAATAATTATAATTATTTTAAATAAAAAATGATTTATGCAAGCAAATTTCATTAATCTCTTATGGAAAATCGATAATAGGGGAATATAGGTAACCTATTTAATTCAAAACTAAGAGATATACTTTTATTGTAAAAAGAAAAATCACCACGCATAAGCATGAAACTACAGAAAGTAATAAAAATTACAATAAAAATAGTAATTAGTACATGAATATAGGAAAATAAAGAATTAATGTAACATCTAATTATTCAAATCTTTCCGGAGAAAATAATTAAAATATTATTAAGTTATTTTTCTTTAAATTACACAAAACCAATGTTAAATAAAATGTCACACATTCTTAAACAGAAAAGCTTGAGTATTCAAGGTACAGGACAATAAAATAAATTACCACTGAGAAACTTTTGCTCTAATGATTATATTCTCATGACAGGCGATTCAATCTTCATGGTTTAAAGAGTTAGTTTTAAATGTCTTAAATGATTTGTGCTAATTATTAATAAGGCTAACGAAAACAGACACAAAAACGTACTTTCACCAAAAAAACATTTGTTACGATGGTTTCAGGTTTTTGACTATCAAAATAATGGGATAAATAGTAGGATCGAAATAGATGGAGATAAATATTGATAGGAGATAGATTTCTCAATTTTTCGCCATACCTCGATAAATTTAAGAAATCAAAACATTTTTGTTCATACCAATAAAATTTGTTAATTTAAAGATAATTCCATGCAAAAAATTTTTCGTAACATCTATTTAATTTACTTTCTTATTTCTTATAATGGTCGAAAAAATTCTGGATTGTCAGGTAGGCGAAATTTTTGTCACTTTAAACTAAGTAATTTTGAAAACAAAATGCGAAATTCGGAAAGAATCGGTCAAATAATTCTTGAGAAAGGAGAGTTTTATAACTTTAAAACTATTTGACCAATTACATTTATCTTTTATATTTCATTTACATTATTTAAAATTGTGTAAAAATTTAATATTTTACACGTCCAAATTTTTCGTGTGCTTTATGCAGGGTCAGACTGGCCCTAGATCTAAAAAAGCGATCGCCCCCCAAGCTCCAGTCAAAGTGGTGGGTCTTCCTTAAAGGTGGGACCTTCTGATCCCATGTTCTTTTGAACAAAAGAGAAAGTATTTCAAAGAAATTTATATAGTTTTAAAACTTTCATAAATTGTCTTATTATTCGCATTATGAATAAAATATTTACTTAAAATTTTATTTAATGAGTCAGTCTAAAGTTACGTAAGCGCTTCGCAATTTAAATAACTATAGGGAACTGCATCTGCAGCCTAATGCATATTCAAAAGTCTGAGTTTAAAAACCTTTGTGTGTACGAACCGGGGCCCCAGCTGCAACACTTTAAGAAAATAGAAAAATAAAAAAGAAGAAAAAATACTTCTACTCAAAATGATAATTCGTCTTCTCAATGATGAAATATGAAACAAAACAAGAGCTTACAATTGCAGCATAATATGCATAAAATTATGAGTTAACAGACTTTTGGATGCACAATCCCGGGCTCCGCCTGCAAAATATTTTAAACCTAGGCTTCTGGATAGAATAGCCTGGTAGGTAGGACACCGGGCTCATGGCCATGAGGTCGTGTGTTCGATCCCCGCCTGCCGAAGACTCCCAGTATGGTAAATGGTGACAAGTGGATGTTAAATCTGTCGAGTCACAAAGTCCTCCATGTTCCGATAACAAATCATACCTCTGGGAGAACTGATACAGGAGTTTCCTTGTCTTCTGGATTGGTACAAAATTACATGGCTACGGAGTTTAACATCAGTAATCGTAAACCCAAAAATTTGGCCGGCTGCTCAACGACGGATATAAAATTAAATAAAAACTAAGGGGTGCCTTTAGAAACTCATCCCCTATAAAAATGGAAGAAGGAGAAATACTTCTGAGAGAAATGATATTTCAATATGGCAACGATGATTTAAAACATAAAAATACTTAATATTGCGGCAAAATGCTCATTAAATTTTGAGTTAACAAACTTTTGGTAGTAAAAAAAAGGGCCGCATCTTCAAAATGTTTGGAATCAAGGAGTTTTTAAAAAAACTTCTCCCACTCCCCTAAAATTGAAAGAAGGAAAAACACTTCTACCCAAATTGATTAGCTAACCTTCGCAATAATGAAATATGAAACAAAAACATACTTAGTGGGGCATGATAATCTGCATTAAATTCGGTGTTAACACACTTTTGAGGAGAACAAATCGGGGCCCTATCTACAGCCTTCACTAGAAATAGAAAAATAGGAATATTGGGGGCCCCTCTGAATAAAGGAAGAAAAAAAAGGAATGAAACGTACTTCTACTCAAAATGATACTTCATCTCCGCAGTGATAAGTTATAAAAACAACAACAAGAAAAAAAACATGCATGCTATTGCGGCATAATATACATAATATTACGAGCTAGCAAACTTTTTATTGTGCAAACATAGGCCCTATCTGCAAAACATATTAAGCCAAGGGGTCCTTAGAACCTCCTCCCCTCTAAAAATGGAAGAAAGACAAAAACGGAAAAATACTTCTGCGTGAAATAATATTTAAATGATTTTCAATATATTGACTTATAGATGCATTGTCATTGGTTATGACTCCTATGCAACTGAAAATTGTAATTTCAGTTGAAAACGGTTTTTAAGTTGTTTTCATCTAAAATTGTAGAAAGGTGTTTCGTAAATTTGCTGCAACATCTCGAAATAATGAAAAAAGTTGAACCAAATCAACTACTGATTTCAAATGGGTTATGTAATGAAAAGTAGTTACATAAATGCTAATATCTCATAATACTCATAACAGTGCATGCATTTCAGTATTTTTGCTGATTCTAAAGATCATTGGTGTTATTGCCTATATATATATAATTTTTTTACAAAAAACTGTTTTCATGCACCAGTTCTTAAAAGCTGAAATGCCCCTCTCAGTGGAAGATTTATGAGAATCATTTTTGTTTCAAAATATTTGTTGAGAGTAAAATCAAAACACGTTAAGAAATTTTTTGGGTTACACAAGTTATAACAATGTTTTAAACTGCTTCGACAGTCTAGAAAAATCAAATATATTTTTGGAAACAGAACATACTAGTTTCCGGTCATGTATTTTATTGATAATGATTAAACTAAGGTCTAAAAAAAACTATATTTTTATTTACTTATTTATTTTTTTACAATAAATTCAAAATAAACTTCAACGGCTAAAAAGTAAGACCTTTAAAATTAATAGTAAAGTATTTAGTTCATTAAAGAGAGTTTAAAATTCGTCAAATCAAGTTACCAAGAGGAATTATTAAGGCTTTATTAACATTTCCAAAAAGGAGGATATTTCATTCTATCAAA